TTGTTTAGTATAAATTTGACGGCCCTAGTTAAATGTATCAAACATTTTTGATCATTTTTGGGGTTATCTTAATATTATTAGCACCCACCAACATCAAACATTTACAATATTAGTTGATAAATGTCCTTTAAATATACGGTTTGTGATTATATATATAGTTTAATAAAAGTCTTTGAATAAAGATCAAATACTTAAAATGTCCCTTAAGAACACTTAATTAATAAAGAGTTACTCGTTAAAATGCCCATAAAGGGAGAGTTTATATTTTAATATACACATAATTTAGGGATTTTAAAGAAAGACCACTAGTGTTATGAAACTAAGTTGCGAGTTCGTGTGAACTCACTTTTTTTACTTCTAAACGCTCGTGTCGATCAACAAAGTTCGCAATAATAATTTTTACAATGTAAATATGAGCAATTTGACAAAGAAAATATAATAAAAAACTAAAATTTATTCATTAACAAGTTAATATAAAGATAACAAGTTGTTTTGCAAGGTATTTACACTAATTGGACGTAAAGCAATTCGCGAGGAATAAATTTCATTCCCGAGATCATAGCAAGTTTAGTTTGAGGCAAAGTTATATCGTCAAATTACGGGTGTTATTTCGTGAGTTTAGTGGTTGATTTAATGGTCATTTTAGTGAATACTTCGTTAATAAAAGTATTAAACCATGATCAAAATATAGAAATCCGTATATTCAGTATAAAATGCATCAAAATATAGATGTAGATAGATGTATATTGCTTCCACAACAACATTCACATTCAAAACTATGAAAAACTATAATTCATAGAGTACACTATTACTTTTGAGGCTTTGACCAAGTAAGGGAACATTTCAAAAAGTGTTTGGAAGCAGGAAAAGCTCCGGAAACTTTGGTTTTATTGTAAAAGCACTTCATCTACATAAACCCTAGTTTTCTGTTACGTGTACGTATATAATCACTGTTGTCTCACACAGAGCACTAGCAATATCAATTTCTTCATGATAAGTTGAAAAAAAATAAAACAAAACGGAATAAATTTTTCCCTATTTGCTAAGAACTGATTTCATGGTGATAAGCTGATTAGTAACCCAAATAATCCACACAGAATGCACAAGTTAATTTGAAAATGTAAATGCCGCTTCTATAAGTGGTAGAGTGAGTAAAAGAGGTGTTTGTTTAGTAATGGCGGGAATTCAAAGTTTGTAAAGCTAAGTGATGTACTTTTAAAAAATTGCCACTAGCATCAAGATTCCACACCTATGGCTCAGCTTGTTTAGACTCGAACCATAAGTCCATAAGAAACTCATGTGAAAGAAAAATAATAAGCCTCGAATACTAACAAAATATCTAAAACTTCTCATTTTATGTTACTGATTATTTAATTACATCCAGTAGATTACGAGATACCTTTTTGATCTCACCATATTCACAAATAAACTAGAGTTGTACATTATGTTACTAATTATTTAATTCCTAAATCGGTGTTGGTGAAAGTTTTGTGGATTCATAAATGGCAATGTGATCCTTTCTACAATAAGTTTTAGTGAGGGCTTTTAAGACTATACATTGAATTGTGTCGAATGAATTCCATCATTTAACTTCATAGGAAGTAAAGAGTTCCATCTAGAACCCTATTTATGTTACTACTTATTCAAACTATACAAACTCTTGTAAAAGTAAAAACAAAAAATAAAAAACAAAACACCCTCGAATAACATGTTAAACAAACCATTTAGAACCCGATTTATGTTGCTAATTATTCAATTGCATTTTGTAGATCACTAAATACCTTTTTTATCATTTCACATTGGACCCAAGCCCAACACAGCTTCATCGGGCCGAAAATCTAGAGGTTTGGCTCGGTTTATAAATCAGTCTATACTTGGCTTGGGCTAACGATTCAGGTTCGGGAAAAGCGGTTTAATAAGACTATGAAATGGCATAGTGATTAATAAACTTAAATATGTGCACAGATTTCATTAATAAAAATTATCTTTAAATATAATCAATCTATAAAAATGCACTAGTCTATCAGTTTTTTTGAACCGGAACTTTGAAAACTCATGAAAATTTTGATTTTTCTCAATTAACTCATGCTTCTTATCCATTCATTTCCTCCACGAGGACCACGACACTCATGTACGTTTCCTAGCTTTCAATTTTTTGTGTTCATTTTTCACTTTTCTTCTCTTCAATTTTTGCTAGAATACAGTTTGTGTCCATTGTTCATTGGCTCTTAACATGTGTATATAATGGTTGAATAAGATGTTTAGGACAGAGCTCAGTGAATTCATAAAAAGACAGAGTTAGGTAGGAGCTTTGTGAATTCATAAATGACTTTGTCAACTATGTTAGAGTTATATCATGGTGGTGTTTGTTTTTTGCCTACAAATCTGTGTGACCATTTCTGTCTGTGCCACGTAGACCACGCGCATATATAGGCCCCGCAGACAGTTTGTTTTTTGGAAGTCTACAGACTTGAAAACGTCTGCACGAGATCTTCTTGACACAGACATGTACCAATATGTTCTAAGGTCTTCACAAGTCTTTTAAACCTAAACCAAAAAAAAAAAAAAAAAAAAAAAAAAAAAAAAAAAAAAACATACAACTTTCTTTTTTTTCTTTTCTCTCAGTGCCTGCAACATCTACCAACGCCTCCCTCCACCGGTTTTCTTCAACCTCGTGTCTCCTCCTTGTGCTGCCGCTTTCCAGACCAGAACCGCCATCTTCCTCCGATTGCACCACCAGACGCACTTTGAAGTAGGGATGAGATTTAGAACCGGAACCGGAACCGTTAGAACCGGTTCCGGTTCCGGGTTTAAAAATTGTCTTTATCCGGGTTCCAGGTAATCCGGGTTTGGGTCGATCGGGTCCGGGTAAACCGGGTCTAAAAACTGGAACCGGTGTTAGGAACCGGAACCACTTTTAGGGCCGGAACCGGTTTTTGTGAAACGTTTAAAAGATGCATATCTCATTCGTTTCAACTCCGATTGACATGAGGTTTTTTCCAACATGCAGTTTAGAGTTTGTACATGATTTTAGATTATAAATTTGCCATTTTTAGTTTTATATTCATTGACTTACAGTCCCCAAAGTCGAGATATCAAAGCTGGAAGTTTTTAGTTTTTCAAATTTTTTTGTATTCGGTGAAAGTTTTAAAACATGCATATCTAATTCGTTTGAAGTCAGATTGACATGTGGTTTTTTCCAACTTGTAGTTTACATTTTGTACATGAGTTTAGACTATAATTTTGTCATTAATGGTTTAATATTCAATGATTTAGAGTCCTCCGAAGTCGGGATATCAAAACTGAAAATTTTTAACTTTTTAGCTATTTGTTTTTGTACTTTGTATTCTGTGAAAATGTTAACACATGCATATCTCATTGGTTTAAAGTCGGATTGACATGCGGTTTTTTTCAGAGTATATTTTAGAGTTTGTACATGATTTTAGACTATAATTTTGTTAATTTTGGTTTCATATTCAATGAGTTACAGTCCCCCCAAAGTCGGGATATCAATATGAAAATTTTCAAAGTTCAACCCATTAAGTAGTAAGTAATTACCAAAAAATTCCGGTTTTTTCCGGGTTTTCCGGTTCTAAACTCACTTTATCCGGTTCCAACCTACCCACTTTGATGTTTCCGGGTTTCCGGTTCTAGACCCACTTTACCCGGTACCGTACCCGGAACCGAACCGGAACCGGTTCCTATATACTGGTCCGGTTTCCGGTTCTAAAAAATCTCGTTAACCGGTTCCGGGTTTGGACCCACTTTCATCCCTACTTCGAAGTACCACTAGATTTTCCTTTGAAAACGAAAACAGGTTTGCTCCATTGTTTCTGATTTTTTTTCTTGTTCTAATATGAAATTAATTGTTATTCTTGCTGGAAAACTCTCTATTAGTCTTTCTTACTTAAATTTCTTGTTGAATGTTGCTGAAAGTCAATATATTTTTGATGTATCTTGCCGGAACCCATAACATTGTTGATGTTAGGTTTGGGTAAATGGCTTCTACAATCAGATTAGGTTATGAAATCACTAATGAAATCAGATTAGGTTCTCTTTTTGGATGTTTTTTTGCTAAAATCATTTTGGTTTTCTAAAATCACATAAACATCGTCCTTTTGGTTTTCTAAAATTACATAAACATCGTCCACCAAGTGTTCTATAAAATGTCTAATAGGGACATTGCATCTTGGAAGACATTGTTTTATCGTTTATAATTCAATTTAACATAATGAAGACTCAATTTTACAACCTTTTGCAAGTAAACGACACCAAATATGTTGAGAAACATGGAAATTTGATTAAGATGACAATGCTGTTAATGGTCGCAATAGTTGCAGTGTGTGTGACTTTCATGATCAAGAGTTCACCTCGGGTTATGAATGGTTATGATTGAAAATTTTATGTGTAATGTGTATATGTTTGTAGTGATGTCATTCCATATGATTCCATATCAATTTAAAGCATATAGAATAAAAAGAGATGTGTTTCATGCATGATATTTTTTTAACGATAATATTTTTGTTTATCTTGTAAAGGCAATGATATATTTTTATTCAATAAATTTTAAAGTGATTTATTAATATTAAAATCTAACTATATGATTATAGATTAAATGAAGTAGAATAAAAATTTGAAAAACTGAGTTCATGAAATCTATTTATTTAAACTTTATTTTACTTTAACAGTCTGCAGACTTTAAAAAACAGTCTTTTTCTTACAGACTGCAGACATTTGTTCCACCTCTTCTTCTACAGATATGGTCCGCAGACTGCAGACATTTTACATCTTAAAAACAAACAATACCTCAGTGTTAGATGAGAGTTGGGTGGATTCATAAATGGCATTGTCAACTATGTTTAGAGTAATATCACTAAAACATATCAACAACCATTACCCGATTCAAACTGATAAAATTTGATGAAATTGAATACAATCAAACAAATTAGCGACTTAAAATGCATGAGAATAAATAATAGTTGCTCTATATAATGGCATTAACCCTAAATAATACAGATTATTATTACATCATAGAGACTCTATATCTCAACGCACTTAGTGTAGAAAGCAATCACCTAACCAACAAATACCCTCTTTGATTGCTATGTTTTTATTGTATATGATCTCAAAGCAAATCATTATTATATCCATAATAGTAAACATCAAGCACATTAATCAGCAAAACTATGAATTAATTGAACAAATTGGCTAACGACTTCCCCATTTCCACCTTCTCCCAACTTCTTCAAGTACCTTAGTCCTTGCTTGACCCTTTTTTGCTTCATCCTCTATCCAAGATCTGCACACAGCATATGACATGACATAACATAACAAAAAAGACAAGGACATGATGTGACATAACATGAAAGTTTGCATATGTATACCTGAGTATACGAAGGGCTTCTAATTCAGCTTCAAGTATTGACTTTGTGTCAAGAATTCTTTCATATTTGACCTCTAATTCACCAACATTACTACGTGTTTTATGTTTCTCATCAACATAATTCTTTCTTTCATATGCAAGTCTCTCATTCATTTCATCAACTTCTTTCTCCAAACTCAAAAGCAACTGTTTTTGACAATCTAAAGCTGCTATTTCCTTCAAATAAGCATTCACAGCATTATCTTGATTTATCTTTTGATGCTCTAAATCTTTAAGTGTTTTAAAATAAGCTGCTTCCGCCTCCAAACGATGCTTTTTTTCATCTTGTATCTTTTTCTCCCAAAATCTTTGTATGTCTCCTCTTTCAAGAAGCTCAGATTTTATCTCTTCAATTGCAAAATTTCTTGAAGAATTTTCAGATTTTAGTTTTGAGAATTCTTGGTGAATTAGTTTGGTGAATTTTCCACTCGTGAGTGCCACTGCTGCTTGTGCCTTGGTGCAGGGTTTCCCAGGCTGAAACCGCTTCACTTGACCTAATAAATGAGGGCAAAATGGTAAATTGTCAAGACTTAGCGAACTTAATGTGGACAGATGTATAACTATAAAGCCATAAAGGTGTTGTATTTGCTTGCAGATTAGTGAAATTGATCTTATGTGGGTAGCAAGAAAAACTGTATCTTTTTCTGAGAAGGGTAAAATGGTAATTTACTCATTAGTGAAATTGACACTAAATTTTACCATATTACCCTTTACGATAAATAATTGTGTCTTGGATGTGTAGTGATTGCTTGAAGACTAGTGAAACTTAATTCTATGTATAGGTAACAAGAACATTAGTATATTTACTTAAGAAGGGTAAAACGGTCATTTATAATAATAATTCAATGCATGTGAGAGAGATAGAAAAGAAAAGAACCAAAAACTTTTCTCATTATGCTTTTGTCATCAGCCATCATATCCATGAAAAGAGGTGGCAATATATCTGACTTCAGCTCCCTTGCATCCAGAAACCCTATTTTGTTCCTTAATATCTGGACTGTAAAAATGTCAGTTCTTAAAAAAACAAAAAATTAATTAATTAATTAATTAATTAAATGATCTTATATTATTCCTACCTCTTCATTTAATCCAGCCATAACTTGGTATTCTAGTTTAGCTCTCCAACCAATAAGATCCTCCCGTGATATAAATCTAGAAACAAATTAAGATAAATAAAATGTAAAAAGAAAATTTTAAATTAATTATCTTAAAAAATAATACCTTTCTGGGAAAAAACTTGTATCCAGATCAGAAGTTAAGTTTTTACTGGACAGCTTGCTCAGAACAACACCAGCCTCAGCAAGAGCTGTTGTACAAATATTCAAAACAAAATAAAAAATATTAATATTTTGAAGGAAAATACATGTATAATTAATTAATTATAATATTAGCAATTTTAATCTTACCTTGAATGTAAACAAAATCAGGATCTTCACTCTTAATGTCATCAAAAGCATTAATGGTGGATCCAGCTAATGAAACAGATGGGGATATCCTATTCTTTGGATTCCTGAATCCCATAAAAAAATATATTATGTATAAATTAATTATGTTAAAAAAGAATTATAGAAAATAAATCATGAGTTGCTTACCTTTCAAGTCTGGAGTTGAGTAGAATCAGCCATCTTGCATATTCTCTCCTAGAACATAACTCATCTGCCATGACTTCATCTTCAATTATCTGTGTACTTTAATGACAGGTTATTCAGAGTTATTTATCAATTAATTAATTTATATTTTTGGAAAAACTGTATAACACAATACCTTCAGATTCTTTAACCACAATAAAGCTTCTTGTTGAGTAGGATCTGCAGAAACTGAAACTACTACTCTTCCAGGCTTTTCTTTTCCACTCTTAATATGATCAATTACTGTAATGTAAATAAATAATGAACACCATGTATGCATATTCTGCTATGAATCTATGATCAATGAATCAATCTAGGAACTATGATGTGTACCTTCTTCTGTTGTTGCATCAACTTCTTCAGAAACGGTTTCCATCAATGGCTTAGTAACAACTTCATCTACCTTTGATGTATCTTCTGAACTCGATGATTTATGATCAACAGAAACATGAAATGGGGTGGTGAATCGCAAAACGTAACCTGAAAAGAAATTATTCCCAAAAGATTGCATCATCCAGCAGCTAGAAAGTAGAAACACAATCCTCTGATTCAAACTAATAGGAGTAATAGAAAAGAGTAATGTTTAGTTATTTACCTTTTCTTGATAGAGTAAAATGAGCGAACACAGCAAGGAAAGCCACAACTGAGGTCCCAATACCAAACAGTAGAAATGTAGGCAATCCTGATTCACGAATGACTTACCCAGTAAAATTTCACAAGTTTTGATGTTTTGAAGTTCAGAAGTACAGCAGGATTCAATGCAGTTATCAAATTGCTTTGAAATAGATCAAACTCCATATAAGTAGCTTGTTTCGTACGCAAAGTAAATGGAGCTTTCAGCAAGGGGGAAATACTAGGGTTTAAACGTTCTACCTTGTTTGTGTTTCTTTGGACTTGGAGATTCTTCAAGAATCGCCCAACCATTGTAGTCTTCAGCATCCCGTCTATTAGAAGACGACAATTCGAGGTTATCCCGGGTAATTGAAGCAGATAGAGATATTAATCTTCGTCTTCTAGGGTTTGCGTGTCTGAAAACACCTTCATCGTTTAAAATTGGAAATGGAAGTGAAAATTTAAGAAAGAGGCGATTTCTACTAGGGAGATGAAGAGGCAGAAAGTTGGATGCAGAGGAAGAAGAGCACATTGTCTTCCTCATTAGAAGAACAATTTAGGGTTTTTTTAGATTTTGAAGCTCAAAGAAATCCGACCTCATGTGGGTTTAACTTCGATTGTTTCATACTTTCATTTCAACTTTACGTCTTTACCATAGTTTCAAGGATTTGCCTCAGTAGTCAGTAGAAATAGAATCGATTTCCTCATTTTTCTAACACCTTATCTTGTTCTTTTTGGTGTCGGGTTCAAAGAAAAGAAGGAAGAAAATTTTAGTTACATAAATAGTCCTTGGGCCATTGATAAAATCTATAGTAAATTAGTAAGGCTCTAAATGGAGTGGATATATATTATCTACTCTAATATATAAAAAAAAAAAAAAAAATTGCAACATGTCTCATTTTGGTCACATGTTATTTTGTAGTTATTTTCAATTAAATTTTTTCTACATAGCATTTTATAGTTTTTTCTATTTTATTAAATTTTATATAATATTTAAATATAATAATTGTAATAAATGTAATAATAAATTTTAATAATTGTTTTCCTTTTAATTTCAACATTTCCAAATTAAAACTTCATTAGTTTCCTTTGTTTATTTATCAAAATTATTTGTGTAAATTTAAAAGAGAAAAAAACACATTAATTTTAATAATTCAATATTTTTCCTATTTTTCTTATAAATTCAAAAAATTTCAAATGTTTAGAATTTTCATATATTTTTTTTAAATAAACCCATGTAAAACATGGGTCTTATACCTAGTTACTTCTATATGTGAAATCTAACATAATCAAGTGTAGGCGAAGTTGCGGGTCTAGGGTGAAGCTTAGAATTTCAGCTTTGAAGTTTCAGTCCGGAATTGTTCGGAGAGCGCAGTGCCAGTCAAAGGTCCCAAAGTGCATACGTATATAACGCGGTGTTCGAAGTGTCCAAGAAGTCTCTTTGTGGAGTCTCCGGAGTTCCTAGAAGCTTCGGTCTAGAGCTACAAAAAATGTGTAAGTTGACATTGTGAGTGCAGGAAATACTTAGATTTTGTATAGAATTCCTCAATCAGTAAAATAATAACTATAGTTTGCACGTGAACGTAGCTTGATTATCTTTGATCAAGTGAACCACTTTAAATCTCCTTGTGTTTTTACTTAATCTTTTGAGCATCATCACCCATATTGTGTTCTTAAAGTTTGTCGAGTGTTGGGGATATTAGGTGATGGTGGAAAATTGAATTCCTTATGGATCGTGTATGTTCACTTTTCGAGGTGATATTTCCACTTTATGTATGGGTTACAGGAAATTCAGTCTATGATGATCCAAAAGGACACTTGTGTGACATCTCCAATTTCACGGCCAGAAAAAGACCGATTTAATTTATGCTTTTAAAATAAAATCAGAGTAATCTTTTAAAAGATGTTGCGGAATTTGTCCCTAAAACAAAATATGATAAAAAAAATATTTATCAAATCATTTCTTAAAGAAATGTATTTTCATTTTATTAAAACATTGGGATATCATGTTCAATACAGACCAAAAGCATAAACAGTAGATTATAGACATCACAACAGTTATTTACATCTACTGGCCTATAATCCAAAATCTCTCGTCACCATCCAACTATGCTCTTGTGCCACTACCTGTAATATAGAAAGCTGAGTGGGTCAGGCTTGGGAGCCTGATGAGCATATAGGGTTTTCAACACACAATAAATTTATTAAATTTTATCAACCAGTAATAAATTTATTAATTTCACCAACCAATAATAAATTTACTAATTTCATCAACCAATCAATATCCCCGATTACCCGTTTCCTAAACACCTAACACAAGGGACCTACTTAAGGATCATCATCGGAGTAACAACACTGGTTAGGGAATACCTCTGCAGTTTATGTCAAAGAAGGCAACCATGAAGGGGATGGAGTACACCTGGTGAGCACTTAGTTCAAAACGCCTGGTGAACACTCAGTTCAAAAATACTTAATGAACACATAGTTCAAATATACCTAACTATCACACAGTTCAAAAACACTGGATGAATACATAGTTCAAAAACACCTACAGATTATGAATCTGTTAACGTTCCACTGACTATCTAGAAAAGTCCGTGGTCGTCATCTATACTCCGCTAGATGATTGGAACAACATTAACATCGAGGCATCTCATCATTTTATTTCATCACACCTCAACTATCTACCCATGTTTTATCCAACATATTTGTAGATAAAAATACATATACAGTTTAAAACCTGTATAAAACATTCGTTCAACATTCATCTCAAATAAACAAACAACATATATACACATAGCACGTATTTTATATAAAATATTTCATATCTATGTGTGAGATGAAAGTGACTATATACTCACATGATAAGACGATAATCGGGCAGTACTTCGTTTCTTAAAACGATCGTTTCCGACAAAACCGGGGTGTTTTCTTAAAAACCAAGCTTCTCGCGGGCAGAGTTTCGGCTCGAAAACTCTTTTTCTCGGGATCTTCGGGCTCTCCGGGGCTTGCTTACAATGCTAGGATGATATAATAGGCTTAGGGGTAATTTTTGCAATATTCAAGAAAGTATAGGGGAGAGAGAATGGAAATTGTAAACAAAACATGGTTGGCTTCGGTTCCTATTTATAGGAGGCCGAAGCTCCTTACTACGCGGGGCGTACGTCCACGGTACGCGGGGCGTACTGACTCGCGAGGCTCTACGCGGGGCGTAAACCCTCGTACGCTGGGCGTAGGTGATGTGTGGCTCCAGACGTGTCATCTTCGCGTGATACGTGTCGATTGCGAGGAAAGGGTCGACGTGGCTCATTTCAGACCGCGTACACGAGTACGGTGGGCGTACTCCGAATTTCCAAACTTCTAAAATTCGTAACTTTCGCATATGAACTCCGTTTTTGACATTCTTTATATCCACACGTAGGTGAGACTAAGCTCTACAACTTTCATTTAGACTCCGTCGGCTAATTTTGACTTTATTTTTAAAAGTTATATTTTTAACAGGCCGGGACAGGAAAAGTCCGTTAAAAATTCATAACTTCTTCATCCGACGTCCGTTTTCGTCTGTCTTTTTACCGTTGAACTACTATCAACAAGATCTTCGCTTCTCGTTTAGATTGTTTCGGCTAAAATCGTTCGATATCATATTCGAACTTCGGGCTGCATACTGCTAAGCCAAAACTTAGAAAAATCATAACTTCTTCATATGAAGTCAGGTTTGGGCGTTCTTTTTATGCATGCTCTCGGTTTAACGAACTCTACGACTTTCGTTTAGATCACTAAGGCTAAAAATCGTTCTATCATAAATTCACTATTTACGTCACGCAGTGTCGTGCCGGTTCTGTCGCGAAACTTCGACAGGTCATAACTCCTTCGTTATAACTCGGATTTCGGTATTCGTTATATCTCCGAAATCCTTGTTTCGACCACTACAACTTTATCCTTAGATATCGGCTTTATTTAATATTTATTTTCGACGCTTATTTTTATCCTTAATTCATTAATCATAATAATTAAGCAGATAAGCACATAATTCACATAATATTCACATAATTTCTCTTTATTACTTCAAAATGAGTTACAAAGGTTGACCTAGACTATTACACCATCATTAATGCTTTAGCCCAGAAACACGGGCGTTACAACTTGTGTATCCAGGCATAGAAACACAAGTCAAATCGTCAGAGAATTATGAGTTCGTTCAAAAAGAATAAGAGCTGAGAAGGGTTCTTTTTACGACTCAAAAGATGAGTCGTATATATACATGACAGATTAGGGTTATGACCTTCAAAATTAGTTAAGCAAATCTCGAATTTAATGGTATAATCAATGGTTTCCAAAACTTACAAGATTTGTCAATCTTACTATAATCACCCACTAGAATTCGATTTTTACAGCTCATCGGGCTCTGCCTTTTGGACCCCGCTAGTGGCACTGCCCCTAGGACCTTGCAAGGGGGCGCGACCCCCTTGAACCTTGATTCAAACAACACTAAAGCAGACAATGAATTCACTAGAAATGCATCTAACATAAATATAAATATAAGCAAATATAATATAACTTTGACAGAAATATAATTAGGCACATACCAACAACGACGTCAGACGTTTCCCTGGCCTCCTCTGTTGTCAACTGATAAGCACGACCCCTGGCCTTCGGGACCTCAGCTCTCCCCTAACGTCCATATGTGATCTGCAATGTAGTAGGGGTCAGTGCATGCATTGGCATGGTAGTAAGCAATGGACAATTGGCCTTCACACGACCCACCTGATCATAATGGAAACAGACTCTGAAGCTTTGAGAACAATTTTTTGCCTGATGATCCTCTTTCCCACACTTGAAACACCTAGACCCTTCTCTGCAAAAACCATCGTGAACCTTCCCGCACTTGCAGCAAGCGCGGGCCCTCTGGTTTCCAAATCGAGAATCGGTGGGCTTGAACCGCTTCGCTGCAAGCCGTGTCTGAACTGTATTCTGCCTCTTCTCCGTCTTTTGCGCCTCTATCTCAATCTCCCTCCTTCAGGCATGTAACTGCAAATCAGCCAGGGTCCGATACGGGGTGGTCGACACAAACTATCTAATCTCTGTCTTGAGAATGCTTAAATATCATGACATCTGCACCTGCTCTGATGATGCATGCTTAGGGCAAAATAGGTCCCTCTTGGTGATCTCGGTCACTGACTATGTCGTCTACTTGAGTGGTAGGTACTATTGGGTCAATCGTTCTCTCTCCACCAGTGGGACGTACTCTACCCGGAACATCTCAAAAAACTACTCCCAAGCCACCGCGGCCTGCTCTGCATGAGAATAGGTCTAGGTCGTAAACTTTCACCAATCCGTCACCCCCACACGAATGAGATTTAGCGCGAATCTAACATCCAGGTTATCTGGACAAGAACAGGTGTAGAAACATCCCTCCACGTCAGAGATCCACCTCATAGCAATGATCGGGTCCTTGACCCCGTCGAACTCCGGGAGCTTCGTGTTACTAAACTCTCAACACTACATCGATCTCCCCCCTAAGGTCCTGCAGCACCAACAATTGTAGTGGCTGCGGTATAGCGCTCATCAAACAGCTCAATCAGCGTTGCCTTAAGAGACCTGAAAAGCTCTGAAATCGTATCCCTGATCGCTAAGGTCACATGAGCAGAGATCAAATCCTGGATTTCATTATCACTCAATCCCGACCTCTCCTAACCACTAATGCCCACACCTTCCACACATATCCGTATTCGTCTCACGAGTTACCTCAAAATTCTAATTCACACTAC